AAGACTATTGAAATGTTAATAAATATAGAAGAGACAAACACATCTAAAGGAACACTTGATAAAATAAACATTTTTTGAATTATTTTTCAAATTACTTGTTTTTATCAAAATAGACGTACTCTCAAATAGTCCTCTATCATGACTATTCCGAAATCCTTTGAAGTCTTCCATTATTTCTTGACGATGAATTTTATTGAATAGATTTCAATGTTGTTTAATATTTTCCGAAAACTGAATCAATTTCTGTAAAAGATGAATCTAACAAAGTCAATTAGAATTTTTGATTGAACATTGTTACATTTACAAAGATTTCTATTTGTACAGTGATAGATTCAATAGTAAATTTTTTTCTAAAAGAAAGAATCTTGTAGAACAAGAGTCTGTCAAATATTTTTATCTATTTTAGCAAAGACAATCGATAGTTTCATCAAAAAACAAATTCAGCAACAAAAGAATTAAATTAGAATTACACAATAAAAGTTTGTTAATCGTAACATAAAAAAGATTTTAGTTATTATTATTAAATAAATAATAAAAAGTGAAATTTACCTTTCAGTAATACCAAGAATAGGTTTCTCTCTGTTAAAAAAATACGCAGAAAATACCATGAACCATTTAAAAGAGAATGTGAGTGAAGAGAACACGCCTTCAGATAATGAAATGCTATTGTTCAGTCATATGTACACAAAACCTAACCTCTCTATAGCCGATTAACCGATTCTCGTTGTTGTCACTCAATTCCAAGTTCATGCATGTCACAAGCAAGATCATCAATTCACTCCAAAGAAATTTGCTCACTATTTCCTTTGCCGATGTGTTTAAATCTTGTCCCCAATTCCAACAAACTTCTTTCTAGTAAGACAAACGTATGTAACTGGTGTTCAAATAGAATCACATGAAAAATAACGATTAAACTTTGTGAAAAATGCCTACAAATGATTCTTTATCAAGATAAATATGCGCATTATAACAGAAATAAATCTATGTAAAAATGTGTGCTTTCTGCAGTTGAACTTATTGCAGAACGTTGAGAGAGAAAAACCTCACGTCAGTTGGATTTGAGAGCTAGGTTGAGTGTGAGCTTAGATATGAGGATATAAGAAATATCAGTGACAGGCAATTAATTTTATGATTGAACAATTTAAACTATTCCATATTTAAGAATCACATAGTTAATTCGCATATAAAACTGTTTTAATGTTGGTTCAAATGCAGTTTCATCATCTACTGTTCACTTTCGGCGAGCTGCAGATCCATCCACACGAACTACAAAAGGTTTTCCACCATCACGCTGGATGAGAGCATCAACTTCTGCTGATATTGAAGAAATAAAATCGTTCGTAGTATATTTGGGAGACCAACCTAACAAGCGGCCGCGTTCCGCGCGAGCTCAAGAATTGGAACCCAGGTAAAACGAGCCAAAGTATTTGATCGCTTCTTCGTCAGAGAAAACAGTGGGCTTGTCGGTACCGATGCCACGCTCATGGAGGGCACGAGCAACTTCATTGACAATGCTGAGAAATACATGTTCGCCATTTTCGGCAAAATAGAATCCCTCACGACCATACGATGCTGTTCCTGCCAATGCAGAATCTAGGACGATGATAAATAGATCAGCGACATCATCAATGTGAACATTAGGTCACTGGTTGACACCTTTACCAATAATACCAGCTTGCTTGCGATCAAGGCTAGCGCGAATCAGTTGAGGGATCTGGATCGAATGCGAATTTTAGATACCAGCATCAGTGAGTTTATTCTTAGCAATACTATAAATTGTGGACAGAAGAATAATATAGGTTCTGACATCACCACTTTCGCCAGATCGATCTCACGATGAACAGCCTCACGAGGGATAGATTCGATGAGAGGAATGTTAAGATCAGAGTAGATATTATCCGTAGTATATTCACCACGAGCATCATCGCCCAGTACACCCGTACCAGAGGTGTAAATATAGATCTGAGCTTTACCAGTAGCTTGCTTCCTCTTTTTCAAACCTTCGATGATAGTCGGAGCAGATTCAATGTGATCGGCATCGGCAGTATGAAAGACCACGTTCGACTCGGATGCGATTTTGCAGAGAATATCAACATCATCGAGGGAAGTAAAAACAGTCTTGACACCAATCTTTTCAAACAGCTTTGCTTTGTCTTGTGAGCGAGTGAGGACAGTGATGTCAAGATCTTTATCTTGACGGGTAAGAAGACGAGCTAGAACAGAGCCGCCAATATAACCAGTGCCACCGATGAAGAAAACTTTGATNTTTCTATAAAACATCAATCTAACAAAGCCAATTAGAATTTTTGAGTGAAGATTGTTACATTTACAAAGATTTCTATTAGTACAGGATAGATTCAATAGTAAATTTTTTTCTAAAAGAAAAAATCTTGTAGAACAAGAGTCTGCCAAATATTTTTATCTATTTTAGCAAAGACAATCGATAGTTTCATCAAAAAACAAATTCAGCAACAAAAGAATTAAATTAGAATTACACAATAAAGGTTTGTTAATCGTAACATAAAAAAGATTTTAGTCATTATTATTAAATAAATAATTAAAAGTGAAATCTACCTTTCAGTAATATCAAGAATAGGTTTCTCTCTGTTAAAACAATATGCAGAAAATAGCATGAACCATTTAAAAGAGAATGTGAGTGAAGAGAACACGCCTTCAGATAGTGAAATGTTATTGTTCAGTCATATGTACACAAAATCTAACCTCTCTATAGCTGATTAACCGATTCTCGTTGTTGTCACTCAATTCCAAGTTCATACATGTCACAAGCAAGATCATCAATTCACTCCAAAGAAATTTGCTCATTATTTCCTTTGCCGAAGTGTTTAAATCTTGTCCCCAATTCCAACAAACTTCTTTCTAGTAAGACAAATGTATGTAACTGATGTTCAAATAGAATCACATGAAAAATAACAATTAAACTTAGTGAAAAAGCCTACAAATGATTCTTTATCAAGATAAATATGCGCATTATAACAGAAATAAATCGATGTAAAAATGTGTGCTTTCTACAGTTGAACTTATTGCAGAACGTTGAGAGAGAAAAACCTCACGTCAGTTGGATTTGAGAGCTAGGTTGAGGGTGAGCTTAGATATGAGGATATAAGAAATATCAGTGACAAGCAAGTAATTTTATGATTGAACAATTTAAACTATTCCATATTTAAGAATCACATAGTTAATTCGCTTATAAAACTGTTTTAATGTTTGTTTAAATGCAGTTTCATCATCTACTGTTCACTTTCGGCGAGCTGCAGGTCCATCAACACGAACTACAAAAGGTTTTCCACCATTCACGCTGGATGAGAGCATCAAATTCTGCAGATATTGAAGCAATAAAATCGTTCGTAGTATATTTGGGAGACCAACCTTACAAGCGGCCGAGTTCCGCGCGAGCTCGAGAATTGAAACCCAGGTAAAACGAGCCAAAGTATTTGATCGCTTCTTCGTCAGAGAAAACAGTGGGCTTGTCGGTATCGATGCCACGCTCATGGAGGGCACGAGCAACTTCCTTGGCAATGCTGAGAAATACATGTTCGCCATTTTCGGCAAAATAGAATCCCTCATGACCGTACGCTGCTGTTCCTACCAAAGCAGAATCTAGGACGATGATAAATAGATCAGCGACATTATCAATGTGAACATTCGGTCACTGGTTAACACCTTTACCAATCATACCAGCTTGCTTGCGATCAAGGCTAGCGCGAATCAGTTGAGGGATCTGGATCGAATGCGGATTTTAGATACCAGCGTCAGGGAGTTTATTCTTAGCAATACCATAAATTGTGGACGGAAGAATAATATAGGTTCTGACATCACCACTTTCGCCAGCTGCGACAACGGCCAGATCGATCTCACGATGGACAGCCTCACGAGGGATAGATTCGATGAGAGGAATGTTAAGATCAGAGTAGATATCATCCGTAGTATATTCACCACGAGCATCATCGCCCAGTACACCCATACCAGAGGTGTAAATATAGATCTGAGCTTTATCAGTAGCTTGCTTCTTCTTTTTCAGACCTTCTATGATAGCCGGAGCAAATTCAATGTGATCGGCATCGGCAGTATGAAAGATCACGTTCGACTCGGATGCGACTTTGCAGAGAATATCAACATCATCGAGGGAAGCAAAAACAGTCTTGACACCAATCTTTTCAAACAGCTTTGCTTTGTCTTGTGAGCGAGTGAGGACAGTGATGTCAAGATCTTTATCTTGACGGGTAAGAAGACGAGCTAGAACAGAGCCGCCAATATAACCAGTGCCACCGATGAAGAAAACTTTGATGAGATCAGTTATAGTTGTTGGACTTAGAGCAAAGTTATCACCTATTTATTTCTAGATGAGAAAGGTAGAAACTATCAACGATAAAATGATTGCGAATCGTATTTTTAGTGGATATTTTCATGTACAGTCAATCACAACAAATACAAGGTTTTTAAAAATTTGTTTTCGTCCATAGAACCTTGTAGAGCTCATT